AGAAACACCAAAAATGAAAAAATAAAATCTGTAAAGTAAAGTAAGCGAAGAAAGTGCAACATCAACGAAGTAGTCGCGAGAAAACTCGGGCGGTGGTATGTGGATGAAAATCGTTGAAAAGTTTAAGTGAAAGAAGAAAGTAACGGATTTGAAGACATAAGAGTTGCACAAATAACAATGTACCATGTTGCACTCTTAGTCTGTTTAAATGTTAGCCGTCGGAGGTGATCATTGTTTTCCGTTTAGTCTATTCCTTTGTTTAACTTTTTTGTTATACTTGTATGAACTTTGAAACTTATTTGAAAAATAATAAGAATACAAAGTAATGCATATACTAGCATGAAGAGCGTTATAAGAATCTGAGAAAATGCGTTTTGGAGTAGTTGGTAAATAAAAGACTTTATGGCCATTAGACATTGGAAGCTGCTTTAGAAAAGTGGAGTATTTGCAATGAAGTGCAGTTATATCCATGAAATATCGAAGTTTGTTAAATAGTCGATTATTTTGCAACAATAAGTATATAAAATAGTTCACTTGGTTGTTGTGATGATGGGCAACCATATTTGATTCTTCCTCGCATCACTTACAATGTAAAGTATGCTGTGTTTACAGAATTTAGTTTATATTATTCAAAGTTATTCTAACAAATGTCGTACAGCATTGTCATTAGATAGGCAAGAAGGAATTCTTTCTTCAACAGTAATGTTCCTTTTTTAAGTTTTTTGGCATATCATACAAGTAATTCACATTTGCCTAAAATTAGAAGTTCCGCTATTAGAAAACTACTAGTTTCTAAACGGACCGCCACCCAGGATTTTAATAAAATAGGTACAGCTGACGACCAAAATGAAATGAAATAATTTGAATACCTATAGTATATCTAGAAGTATTTACAGTGATAAATGTTTTTATCTTGTTAACTTATTACTAAATGTAGTGGTTATTACATATAAATTTTGACAATTCGTGTGTTTAGCTTAATTGGAAATAATTGTATCCAGCCATCCATTGTATTCTATCTGCAGGTTTGATTTAATATCTTTAATTATAAGTTATATAGTTTGAAATATTGACTGAAAAACATTTTATAATTATAAAAAATTATTTTCTAACACCAACACCCACTCGTACGTGGCACTCAATGCCAAGATACTTAAAACATTATTGCGAAAACACTCTTGAACATTGGTGTAATTTATAGCTCAAACGTCGCAATGTCTTGTAGGAAAAGGATATACGAGGTTGTGGTAATGTATTTATGTATATCTAACATGTACTTTGCATTGAACCTTTTACCAGTATTTAAATTTATTCAAAGGTGGTGAAATATAACATGTATATCGATTGCTAATTTGAGGAAATGAATATATGTACTTATGAGCAAATTATCTCAAATGATCGAAGTACCACAATGTAAAATGCAAAGTACAAAAAATGAAAGAGAGATTAATATCACGTGTTCACGCACACAAATTTGCTATATGAAAATTAATTAGCTTGTGAGATATCAATTTTTCTACAAGTATAAGAATAGCAAAATATAAATTTTAAACAGCTGAACAAAGTTCACATTTTTGGTACATTTTCAGTACAGTTTTGAAAAATAAAACTTTTTAAGTTTAATGAAATAAATAGTATCAAAAACAGTAGCAATTTTAACTGCCCTGTATCCAATTTATACGTCCTTTAAAAGTGGTGGTTGTGCCCATAATATCAAAGTAAGCACAACCATTTATCTCCTGTGCCTCACACAATGGCCATGGCATAGCTTTTTTATCATTGTCGATGTTGGTGTTGTTGTGGTCATAAGCTTTACATCTTAATTAAAGACGCTTTCGCACCTTTTACCCACAATCAAAATTTCGAAAAGGAAGTAAGCAATTTAAGGTGCAGTGGCTTATTTTCAAACTCGGTACAGAAATCGTGATAGAACAGCCCAAAAAAAAACAACCACCGGTTGGCATTGTACTTGTATGCTGGCACCATGCAAAAACAGCAAATCGGTTGGAGATTTTGAGTTGAATGCAACAGCTTGGAAAGCTAAGATCAAGAATTCAGTTGGCAGTCAGCTAAACGCAAAGTGTGAATATAATAAAAATTATAGGACAGTTGATTGTGGTGAGGAACAATAAAATTCACATTGAAATTTGATTTACATAATGCCTTATTAATATTGTATTTAAATTAAATGACAAAAAAGTAAGTACCAAACTAATACTAATAAATAAAATACCTTAAATCTATCTGCAATGGAAGTAAATATATGTATACTATAATATTAGAGAGGGTTGATTGTTTTTTTAAATGGCGTGTGCGGGAAATGTTCTAGGGATCACTCTGAACAACTTTGCCAAAGAGAATATGGGTCTAAAACTGTCATTTGTCATTCGTCGGAATCGGCTAGATCGGAAAACGATATCACAGATATTTTATTTTCCGAATACTTGCCTTCAACAAAAAAGCTAAGAGCACGTAATTTTGCAAAACTATTCTCTAATACATACTTAATAATGACAGTGAAAATGAGGAAAATCGGGCAACTATGTTATAGTTATAGTCCCATACAACCAATTATCCAGCTCTTAGCTTTTAAATTAAAAACAGACAACCGGAAAATATAATAACTGAATAATCGAATCTATGGGAGAAATGTGATATAGTTGTCCGATCTGACCGATTCCGATAAATGATCAATAAAATGTCAAAATGCATCTAAGCATTAAATTTCATTCAGATATCTCAAAAACTTACGAAGAAATTTTTATGATCCCTAAAAATTAAACTTCACCTAAAAAATCGCTGGCTCGAAACCGATTTTATACCCATTTTGCATTATGAACCGTAGAATATATCCCACATACGCAATTTTTCCGATTTTTTGGATCCCTGTAAATCAAACTGCTGTAATGTATATATGTATATAATAAATTAAGGCTTTGAAGGTGCTATTTGCTATACTGTTTTGTTAAGTTTGTTGAGGGGCTCAGCAATGTTTGATTCGCATACAACTACATATCGCACGAAATTGGCAACAACTTGGCATATGCCATGAAAGAACTTTAAAAACAACAAACAAACAAATTCATAACCGAATAAACAGCAGATAAAGAGAATCGGTTGCAAAATAACAACAAGCATAACAGCATTTGCAAATACATGACAACGAAGTTGAAAAAATACGCAACCGTGTTCCAGAGATTAATAAATTGATGGCAACCATTGCACATAACATGTAACTAATGACGGTAATCAATTTTACTTTGCATCTCAATCTGGCTTAAAAAACATACATAACAATACGACGACTTACGGCCCAGATGATTGCAAACTGAACTATAAAAGGTAGAAAAATAAACTCAAGGAATATTCAAATAAAGCTATGAGGATTCGTAAAGTTCTCTCCAACAGTTCATTCATTTGAACTCTAGGCATATACAACTTACAAACGTACAATTTTTTTCCAACTGTATCATATATAAATATTTTTTCTTACATAAGGCGTAACAATATGTGTAGTTTTGTTAGTTATTTTCATGACCTAGTTATATTTTAAGCACCCCTATAGAAAACTTATCTATTGTAGTTTCCCAACCCAACAGGTACAAAAACCATTGCGTCAAACTCGTCATTCTTATCCAAGATGCCTTTCTTCCTAAACATATGTATGTACATATGTAACTTGATATAAATGAGCGTAGTTCAAGGTCGTGAACTTTTAGAAATCCTTTCGATCTTAATGTTTCGTTCTCGTTTTGTTACAAATAGCAGTGAATTGAAATACTTGCAAATTTTACTTTTGCTTGCAAATTTAATATTCAAAAAATTCGTTCCACTCTGCTTTTGTATAATGTTAAAGATTTCTAACTGCATTTTATTATTCATTGCTGACTTTGTCTGTAGCAGACGCGAATGGTAGACCTATTTTTATGAGCATTTTCGTTTGCTAAAACCTTACACTTCGTTGCCTCTTCGTGAATTTTTGGCCGAAGACAACAATGTCACGATACTCCAGCCTCCATATTAGCCAAACATGGCTTCGCCTGATTTTTCTATTCTATTTTCAAAAATAGAGAGAACCATAAAAGAAATCAAGTTTTAGAACTGGCATAAGGGCATAATATAGAATGGGGACTATTTTGAAGGCGACAACGTTAATGTAGACGAATGAATAAATATTTCAAAAAAAAAAAAAAATGAAAATTCCCGTTATTTTTCGAACATAGCTCGTATATCGAATCAGTTTAACCTTTAATTTAAACTTTAATTTAAAAGTTCTTTTTATGAATTCGCCTAAACACGAGACCTTAAAATCTATTAACTTAGGTTACATCTAAGTACTCAGTTAATTTTACACTTGAACGAAGCAATTCATATATTAGAGAATTTTAATAACCACCTGACGAGTCCTTGCCCTCGATCTTCGTTCTAACTAAGGGAACATTCAATAAACCTAAACTTATGAACATATTTTCCTGAAATATTTTAATTATCTCAGTAAGTAAAATATGCTATTAAAGTAACTGAATTGAGATCTTTTAAGACTCCAATTATTAAAATAGAAGGATTTCCAGGATTCGAACGTAAATGCCCGTATTTGCACTTAGAATAACTTTTCACGCTTACAACCAAAACCACCTCAAAAATGGAAATGCGGCCGCTTTAGCCACAGTTTTGTTATTATCTTTTGCTCAATAACCAAAAGCATGTTGCATGAGTTTGTACATGAGTTTGAAAATTGTCTATTAAATGTTTATTTTACTATAAACTCTGGGGTTGTTTATCAGTAATACTCCTTTTTAATTTAAAAGGCTTTTCATATTTATAAATTGTAAGACTATTTATTAACATTCTCTGGTTGCATGCAGACCTTAATTCAACAAACTACTCAATTCTACTCAACTCAATTACAAGTACTCACAATATTTTACTTAAATGAGAGTAAGAAAAAATTCCACTTAATACGTTCATGGAATTTTTTAGGCACTTTCCTTGACACTTACCAAATTGACTGCGCATCCAGGGATACAATGGCGATGGCATCCCTGATGACTGCGAATTTGGATTTTGAGATGGTGGTGTATGTTGTCCAGGATGGCCCTGATGCATTTGTGGTGGTCCCTGAGCTTGATGCATCATGGTTTGTGGTGGTCCGCCAACGGATGGAATGCCAGTCTGTTGTTGGCCATACATACTCATTTGATGATGGTTTTGATGAACCTTCGAAGGCAAATTTATTTAAATATATTAATAAATTTTTTCTAAGAAAATTAAATACAAATATTTATCTAGATAAACATACAAAAGTTAGTTCAATAGTTGTCACATATACACATTTGTATTGCAAAATATTATTATGTAATCACAAATAAAATTTTATCTACAAACTGAACACTGAAGTTGGGTTATTGGAAATAAAATAGAAGTTAAAAAAAATTTATAAAAGTTAAAAATATTTATTTCAAATTATTCACTATTATGTTTAGAGCGAAGTGAATGATTTCGCTTACCTCATTAACATCAGGAACTGCGATATCGTTGTAACCCAACTGCGATATTGTAAGACATAAAAATTGTTTTTGTGTTAAATTTTGATTAAGTTTTGGTCGTGAAAACATTTAATTATAAAACTTGAAGGTAAGTTCTGTTTTGTTACAATTTATAAAGAACATCAGCAGTGTTGTGCAGAATTACTGCATTCTAGAAATCTATTATTGGGGCTTCTAAAAAGTGTAAATTTACCTTTATCTGAATATTTGATATTGCTGATCTTGAACATGAAGACATGCGCTTACATCATTTCTATGAATTCATATTTGTATAAATCTACACATACAGTATACCTAAACCGTTATCATTACGCGTTTAATATCACTTAAGTTATATCTGTGATATGGCGTTAAAATTTCTCTCACATTTGTCTACTTGTGCGAGTTTTTTAGTTAGTTCATATAGGGTATATAAATATTATAAGTCTAATCACCTGTGCTTGTGGGTGTCCAATGTGGTGTGGCAAACTCATCTGTGCATTTATGTGATGGGCGCCCATTTGATCGACTAAGGGCGGTGAGCCGCCTTCGTGCACCATTCCTAATCCGCCCACGGCTGCTTGCAGCTTACAACTGGCATATACTACAGGTTGCTGTTGTTGTTGGGCTGGATGTGTCACCTGTTGCGTCACTTGCGAATGCTGCTGATGCTGAGGTGTCGCCTGTGCTTGCTGCGTAACCTGTTGCGCCTGCTGTTGCGTTACTTGTTGCTGGGGTTGTGGCTGTTGCTGAAGCAGTGGGCTACCATTTACTTGCGGCTGCTGTGACAAACCCACCTGACTGGAAGGACTGTCGGGACGAGAGTAACCTTGGTGCTCCATACTCTGACCGTTATAATAGGGCATACGATCGTAGGGCGGGAAGCGTGGGTAGGGCATATTGCCCTGGTTATTTGGATGCTGACTATAATGATGCATTTGTTGCGCATCGAGATCGGTGACACCATTTCCAGGATAGTGGCTATGGTGTATTTCGGGTCCTATATAGGAGTTGGAAAAGTATGACGCCATACTTTCGCAATTATTTGTACTCATCGTCATATTGAAGGATTCTATTGTGTCTGTGGTAAACGTGGTGGCGGTGTTAATCGTGACTGAGGGTAGCGGATTGCCGAATGTAAAGTCCCTTTGATGCGTCGTTTACTGTTATTGATGGAGTTTGAAGGAGCCGGTTGCTTGAAGGGGCGTGTTCGTTTGTGGGATTCGTGTTGCTGTACAGGTGCTTGAAGCTACTTGGTTTTCAGCTACACAACTTATACGGATACTTATGTTTGTATACATACACTACTGTAGATTCTAACCTTTTGCAAAAGCAATCAAATAAAAAATTTAATTAATAACATTTAACATATTTTATTAATACTTACTTAAATCTGAACACCTATGTAAGTACAGTATACAATTCGTTCTTAGCTTAAAGTGTTTGAGGTATAAAAATGATTTGCGTTTCTTCTTTTCAAGTTGAATATCGCCTTAACTTTTCTAATTGTAGAGCTTTATCCTAGCGTTACCCAACAATGTTTAGTAAATTAAGGTCCAAAAATAAGTTGTAGACTTTGTGATTAAGTAGTCTTAATTTCTACTCGTACAATTTTCATTCGTTTTGGACTGAAACTCTGGAAAGATAAAATAATAACTAAGTTAATAATTGGAAAATCTAAATAATATTAGTGATCATAGCGTTGATATAAAATAATAAAAACACGAGCTTATCTTATATTCAGAGAAATATTTTATTATGTAAGGAAGGGCTAAGGCAAGGAAACTTTATTTTAAATAATGTTGCGAAAGAATTCAAGATTCATTATTCCACTCAATTAGGAATGGATTACTCGCACAATCAAAATCGGTTTTTTATTAAGTTATATTATAGGTCATAGACTTACTTAGTTTTATTACTATATTTTATTTCCCCTTAACCAAAGGATCGGGATTGATTCATATTCAGTGGTACAATAGTTTTTAAGAAATCTTTTCCACTTAATTTCATCAAGATCACACATTTTGATTAATCAAACGGTTTAAATTCCGGTGGAAAGTCGGAATTCATTATATTGGATATGGGGGTAGACGATTTATTGTTAACTCTGAGTTTCATTAAGGTACCTCACATACAATCACCAATTTTTTAAAGAATAAAGTCAGCCGGATACTTGAAAATCCTTATATTAGTTATATGGGGGCTAGGGCAAGTTTTCACCATCAAACCAAAATACGAGGACTAAAGTAGCACACCTTAAAGGCACTATTCGTGCAAAGTTGTATTCCGATACATTCATTGGTGTTTGATTTGTATACTGGAAATCAGATGGAATTAAAAGTTTAGTTATATGGGAAGTACGCGTCTTTGTAGTCCGATTTCGCCAATTTTTGTACTGTAACATAGGAATGTTAGGATAATATTATTATTATATCGAATTTGGTTGAAATTGATCGAATAGGATCTGAGATATGTGATTTCATTTGAAGGTGGGCGATGCCCCCCCCAGCGTCCAATTTTGACACCGGCTCTATTAAAGCCCTTTCGTACGATTTCAGGTGTAAAATTTATTGTCTTTGACGGATTTGGACGGCGTTTTGTGGTTGTGGTTCGATTACGTCCGTCTACAATGTCGAACTTTTTATGGTGCTAGGGAACATGTGTTTCAAGTTTCGTCAATACTTCTAAATGTATGCACGGACGGCGCACTAACAGAGACAGACAATCACTCGTCTCATCATTGTGAACATTTATATATCCATAACTCTATATCTCTCTCGATTAGTTTTAGGTGATACAAGCAACTCTTAGGTGAATAAAATTATTATACTCAGTAGGAACATGTTGCAAGAGCTAAACAAGATTTTTTGTGAACAATGTATTGTTATAGAGAAGTTAGAGTATTTATTTATTTCGTTTTTATTTTAAAGGTGGTACGGATATTGTCTAAAATAATAATTTATATTTCATCTGAGAAATTTAAAACAAAATTTACTGTAATCTTAACTGTTTACTTTCTTAAACCTGTTAATAATTTAACATTTCTCAGCTACATGGGCTGTGAAGTCGTTGGTGTAAGAAATTAGGCAAGTTTTTCATCTCGAACTATAATTGATCCAATAACGAGCAGTAATAGTGCTTGTAGAATATATGTTTATAGATGATAAATGTTTATATACCTAGTTCATGAAAATAATTGTGTGTGAATCCTAATCTCATATATTTGAAATGTGAATGATGTTACCCAACTTCATTTAGCGATCAATTATACCTTGACGAATTTTAATCATATAGTATGTGCTGGTACGGTACTATGAAATTCAGCAAATCTTTTACTTGACTTGGGTCGTATTTGTCGTAATACTAGTCAAGCCAGGAAACAATAATTTTCCAAAGTACGAAATTAATTTTTACTATTTAAACAAGTTTGGAAATGATATTAAATGTAACTAAAAATTTTTGTTTGTTATAAAAGTGCAGATATAAGAATTTTGTTGCTTAAAAATTACATCACCTATACGTGCTTTTTCTTCACTGCTACAATATGGATCACAAATTTTCAATGCCATTTTTACAGGTTTTTCGAATTATATCTTTTCAACGCGGTGGCCAGTTGATGTCATGTCTTTGGATCTGACTGTTTGCTAAAAAAAACTGTTGGACTAAGCGTATCCATTCAGGTGGAAAAACTTCATCTAAGAGCAATATATTCGTGGTATTAGGCCAGAAGGCCAGGCCACTTTGGGTATGCGAGGCGCAGCTTATCTCCAAAGTATGATGACCTAACTCTGCGACGGCTCTTTCATTTCGTAAAACTTTCACTCTATCAACCAGTGTCTGCTTGGAGCAAGCACACTTCAAATAAATTAATTTAAGTAAAACTGAATAAAAATAATTAAAATTTTGTTGAGTTTCCCACATTTTTTAAACTTTTTCTTTTGCAAAACCTTCATTCAATATTATTCACCACTATTTCCTGTTAACATACCACCCTTTTGTTATAAAAATTCCAAAGCTGATTGAAATTTTGCTCATTGAAGCGAATTTTCAAATGTATGCAATTCTTAATTACAGAAACAGACAACAACATCCTTCAAGGTAAGATTCATTTTCGTTCATAGACAGTGTGCAAACAATGTCGTTTGAAGTATTTGGCAAAATATGGACTGGTTTTATATAATGCAATTGGTCACTAGTCTGTAAAATTTAATATTTGGAAATTGCAGAAACAGTAAGAAAACTAATTAATAAAACTGCAGTGGTTCCGAGCTCACTAAAAGCTCAGTCATTTAGAATGCTTTTGGCTATGAGCACTATTATTCACAATAAAATAGATGTTCTTGTATGTACATATGTATCAATAAAACTATCCTAAAGGACTAGTGCAAGGAAATTGTACCGAGTTGGAAAGAGGCAATATGGGGATCGGTTTGGAAAGAGGAAAATATTTGTTCTAAAGGCTACAACATGTTTTTCATAACAAAACCCATTTCGTATACGTTTTGCACGACAAACATTTTGTGAATGTTAAAACCCTACTTATTTTTATTTGTAACCTATTTCTGAGCTATTAGTTGTACAGTGTGTAATAAGTTTAATAGCTGATTCGGGTATTTCTGAAGCAAAAAGGTTAGAATGATATATATTTATATGAAGTTAAATGATAACAATAGCTTCGTATACAGATGAAGACTTATATTTTTAAAACAGTTTGCAAACACAAAAATTACTCATGAAAAACCTACACAGTTAGGACATTTTCCTAATATAAAAATTGTAAGTTTCTGAAAATTTAAATGAAAATCGAGAACTAAATCGTTTCATACGCGGTAAAAGAGTAGGTTAGTTTGGCTACAACGATATTCTTGTACGAAAATACCGCCCAATATCAGCACTGGTTCGTTATGCAACCAACTATGACGATCCCTTTCAAATTGCTAAGTCCTCTTCCATTGCTACTACCACATGCTGTGGCGTATTCTTCCTCTGTTCCATTGTTTGTTTTGGCTTTTGTCATCGACAAAATAATTTCATATCCGGCCCGTCGCCGCCCACAACAAAAGCCAAACTGCTCACCGGCATTTCTATTCTATCACTCTTCCCAATGATATGATGCATGTATCTATGTATGTATATAGGTATTCTAAGTGGACTTAAACTGCCAAATACAGGCTTCCGTTTCAATTATTTCATGCAGTGGGCATTAGAAGGGCTGTATGTTGATATCTTGTGGGTGGAGATGAGGTACATGACAATAGACACCCGGCCCAAATATACGAATATAGAATGGGTTAATAAACGCTTTACGGCGGAAACTCTATATAACGAAATTCAAGGGGCCGGATACTTTTTAACGTTACAAAGGGTTCTCGTTCAACGGAGAGAAGATTCATATTCGAGGACTGAGCATATTTTCTGCATTTTATTTAAATGGTCGGATCAACTTAATTAAATTAAATAAATTTTCTAATTACTTAGCGGCATTCATAGCTGGTGTTAAGTAATATACATTTGCTTTGGTAATTACAATACAATAGTTGAAAATATTTTTTAGAAATATTCATGGTTCTTAGTCGATTACTGCTCATTATTTCGTGGCAATATACAGAGTTTAAATGGTGGAATAATAATGCCAATAAACAGACTTTTGTTATTTCTATGTACGTTCTATCAATGTTTTCGTTAAATAGTTTCGTTATATGGAGTTTCCACTGTAAATGCTCATGTATATTGTGTATATAGTTGTATGTATATATGTACATATGTATATGCTCGTATGTTCCAATAGATATGTTATACAAAAGCGAACCAAGAAAGATAAAAAACCAAATTTCTTTAAAAAACTTAAAGTGACTTAGGTAAGAAGGTTGTGCTGCTATAAAAAGAATTGTATATTATAGCTTAAAGAAACGTATATTTCATTAAAAAATTACGTTTCAAAAAGTCTATGTTTTACCGCACGTGGGTAGGTAGAGTGCAAAAAGCATGTAAAAGCCTAAAAAATTAGTTTAAGGATTCACGCGCGCAATGTCAATGACTTCAAATTCATATCAAGGTCCAAATATCAGTATAGAGTTCTGTAAAATCTTTATTTCAAAAGCGATGCCACTGTTGCCGCAATCCATTATAAATTTGAACTAATTTTGTACTAACTTATTAAGATTACAACTTGTGTACAATGTAGCATACTTTTAGGAAAAAGAATTCAGCGCCATCTGCTGAAAACAATAGCTAACTGCAGATATAAGGTAGGGAGTTGTGGTAAACTAAGAACATTTATATGCTATCCGCGGCTAGATGTCACCCTCAGAAACAAAAATAGTTGACTGACACAGAATTTAGAGTAGAGACAAATAATCAAAAAACCAAAATGAATTTTAATTTTTAATCATTAGCTATCTTTGCTAATTCTCTGCTCGCTATCTTTGTGCGCTGCGCTCTTGTCAAAAAAATTTGTGTATTAAAGCAATAAGAAAGTTGTCGAAGTGAATTCTCACAAGAGAGTATGCGGAAACCTCATTAAAGTGGTATAACCGCTATCTGTAACGCTACCAAGTTTTGTTTTTATTTTATATAAGAGCAGTTTTACTATTGTGAATGGCTCAAATGGCAACGCAATATACAATTTTTTTTTCT